TAGCAAGAGAGCCCTCTTAGAACGGGAGCCGGAGGGGAGGATAGGAAGAGGTTGGAATGCAATAATTTCAGCCATTATCCAATTTCAGTTTTTTCTATCAGTCAGCTGAAAGGGAGAGGAAATATCAGCTGTTAGCAAGTTCCAAGACCAACTTTGTTTGGACACTATGAAACTTGGTTACAGCATAACCAAGTTCAGATAGTGATCATCCACTCTGGCTCCACACGTAAGGAGATCTCACCCTCCAAGCCCATACCTCAGATCCAGGCCGGAAAAACTTATTTCTGTCACCTGTGGGAGATGTTCATCTTGAACTTAACCCTTTCAAGTTCTCTCTGGCAGTAAAGGCCACCAACCCCTGCTGTTTTCAATCTATGATTCCTATCATTTTTCGTAAGGGTGTAACCTGATCAAATACAGTCAATTTTCAATAGTTAACTTATCGTTGATTGTCCAGGAGAAAAAGAAAACCGCCATCAAACACAAACCAGTTGTCGCCGATAACTGGATGACTGGCACTGTTGGGTGACACCGGAGCAGAAGCATGGGATACATCCTTGCGGGTTGCCAGACGACATGTAGAATGTGTTTGGTGGGCATTGATCGCAGTTAGGACCTACAGTTTCAGCATGAAGGATTTTTTTCTACAAACAAGAAAAATTACTTACCTTGTGCATAGGTCTTGCAAGTACATCGACCATCATGGCCAGGGTAGGGAGAAACAACTCCAGGCCCTGTGCATTGGGGTTGTCTTTGCTGTAAAAGAAGTTAATTGATGTTTATCAGGCAGGAATTTCAAAAGTCAACTGTAAAAAAGAATTAACCTGAATGGGTACACAAGTGCCAAGATAAGGTCCTTGGCCGGATCGCTCATATCCAGGGGCGCAGTCCTCACACGACGTTCCTATATATCCAGGAGGGCATACACATTGTTCCACCTGAACGCGTTCATTTTAACTAGAACACCAAAGGAGTGAAAGGAAATTCACCTCAAGGGCAAGACCATCGGGTGTAGGACGATCAATGGCGATATCCCATGAAACGTGGCCAAGGCTGGAACAGTAGACTTGTCAAATTTTATTTCACTCACACCTTGAAAGCCTCTTTATACTCTTTGCAACTTCTATTTTCACAAATTGCCGTTTTTTTCCATTCAAACTGTTAGTAACTGTCCTTATCCCTAGGATGTCCCGAATATCCTGAGAGCCCTATGAGCCGTACGAGCCTCGCTGTCGCCTCCTTACTAGACCCATAAGTGAATTCAGAAGGAAATGCTGGGCATATTCACCAGCTTTTGGAGGCCAGGAAGTAGATCTGGAAATAGCCCAGACAAGGGCCACCCCACAAAACCAAAAGAAAAGGGCCAAAGGTGGCAATCCATGACTTCTTTTAAGGATCCACTAAAAATGGCGCCTCTTGACATAGTGCTACACGGTTCTGAAGGTCCAGCATATATGCTTAGAGGTGACGAAGAAGAAAACGAAGTATTATGGAGTTGATCAATTCCGCTTGGAAATGTCCAAATGCCCTACTCCCTACTCCTATTCAAGTACGAAATCCCCTAATCCCATTCAAGAATGAAATTTGAAAGCGCATTCCACCAAACTCTGACCTGGTCTACGACCTGAGACCAGGAGATGTACAACTTTGGCAGCACGCAACCGGATCAGAGGGATGGAAAGGCGGCTTGGATTGGACACAGTCAAGTTCAGTCAAGGGATACTTTACAGTTGTCTACAGCGATACCCACAGTCGGGCCAATGTCGAACGATTCCTAGGAGGAGGTGGAGGGCTGCACAGGCTGCACAAGTACAATGGGGATCGACCCATGTTTAGCTGTCTCAACCACCATGCCCTCCATCTCCTCTTACGAATCATTTGAGCTTTGTCCGACTGGGTACCGCTCCAGCAACACTCGACTGAACTTGATTCTGTCTTCGACAATGTCGCCTTGGATACGGAGTTTTTAAAGCTGGTTCAAGGAAAGGCCTCGTTTACCAACTGCAATAACACTTCATCTCTCTGAATGAATAGTTTTTGTTCGACGTTTTAGGAAGATGTAGATTTATTAAGTAGTAATTTCGCTGAAAAGCTTTTTTTT